GAAGGGGGGGGGGGGGGGGGGGAGGTCCGGTCGTCTCGATTTCGTGGATAAGGTAAAGGTGAACTGGTGCGCCGCCGGGGAAAGGATTCGTCCTGCGAGTCGAGGATAAAACACGGGGCCCGGTGCGTGCGTGTGCAGCGCACGGGGCCACGTCTAAATGTCACGTGTAACCGGTGTAACTGTCCCGTGGTCTGGCTGCACCCTGTCGGGTTCGCCACGAGGAAACTTTCACTCGTCGGCGGTCGCGGCGGTCCCGGCGCGCCGGTCCCAGCGGTCCCGGCATGGCTCGTTGCCGACACGCGTCGCGTCTCTCGATCCTCCGGCCCGATTAGAATGCCCATTGTAAGCCGGTTGCCATGCGCGTCGATTAGAAAACAAGCGCCGAAACAAGATAAACCGAGCGAACAAAGCTGAACTTTGCAGAACGCGCGTTGCCGCGGCCGGTTGAGTCAGCCGCTTGCAACACGCTGCAGCCAGGCCGCAGTTCATTACATCGCTAGCCAGCTCCTACGCTCCCGTAATTCGACGGTATGCGCCTATGCCGTTCCGAAATCGTGTTGCCCGCCGCTCTTCCATCTAGGAAATGCGTTTCGTTGCTTTCCGACGGCTCCTTTCACTCTTCGTTTGCTCTCCTCGTTTTGCTCCTGTTCCGGAATCCCAACAGCCGGTGACAATTCGCGCAAGAATTCGCTGACCCCAAGGCCACGGCTGGCGGCAACCCGTTCGAACAAGAAATCCTTGCGTCGAGGATCCTCCTCCGCGAGTTTTCGGCTCGCCTCTCTCACCGGCGAACCCCCCGCGATCGTTGCGTCGATCGTTTATTAGCCTTCGGACACGGGAAAAAATAGCATAATCTTCGATATTACAGATTAAGCTGACCTCGATCGTCCGACAATTACAAAAGAAAGCCGGGGAATACGCGGAATCAGCGGTCGTACGAATAAAAATCAAGATAGACTGCGCAACAACGTTTCAACACCGTATCTCTTCACATCCGCGATAGATCGTCCAGATTATCGCGTCTTATTATCGGCACTCGATCAATGGTAACACAAGTTCCGGGCAACGTTCAATTACAATTCGCGCGTTCCTTCCGCGAAAAATCGCTATCATTTGCCAGCCGTAATCGTATTTAATCGATTTACAAGATATGTAGACCACGAACGCGTTCATTAATTGATCCCGAGTTCTACGTTTTTCAAAGGATATCTGCGTAGGGCACTCCGTTCAGCGATTGCGAGAGACCTTGCGATAGACCTGGCTGTCGGGATAAACGATATCTGAAATTGTCTCTACGCGGCTGACGTCATTAATATGTCCGAGATCTTCGTACCCTCTCCTCGGTCGCGATTTCTATGAATCCCAGGACGCCCCTCGCGAACGTCGCGCGATCCATCACTGTGGCATCCGTCAGCGATTCGATCGACGACACCTGGGATCCACGGCCCTCAGGTCGGAGTCGAATTGTAAACGTTCGCGATCGTTTCTCCGCGACTCATCGTCGAGTGGCTCTCTCTCGTCTCGACGGCTTTCCGATCAGCTGGCTTCGAGTTCGTTCCATTTGCGATGGGCGGTAGGTTACACCTTCGGACTTTTCCTCCGTAACCCCTTCGGACTCGGAAGATCTGGCCATAACGATCCTAGGCTCGCCCGAACGCGTAACGTACTCGCCTGTTTCGATTCGTAAGATCTCTCGCTCATCGCCCTCGTTGAGGGGGCGATTCCTCGATTTTTCGACTTTAAAGTCATTCTCGTCTCCCTGGGCACCCTCTTTAGGTACTTCGGAGAATTTTTAGACTTTTTAGACCGGGGTTTATTCAACGTTTTCAACGGATGAGTCCGTTGAACGTCGCAGTCCGATAACCCGGTGTCCACAGATCAGAGTACTTTAGAGATCCTCTCTTCGCCTTCTCAGAACGAACTGCAAGGTCTATCAGACGTGTTCGCGGTGAACAGACGTTCGATTCATCGGTCGAGTAACCCTCAAACCACCTCGCACTCGATCAGAGTGCTTCAGAGACCTCGGAAATGGTTTCCGGCTTTGCGAGGACTTCCTCGCAGTCCAAGAAGATCCTGTCCCAATCAATGTTCCCGAAGTTAGGTGTATCGTCGACAGGGCGTCGAAGACGGTTCCACCTGAAAATCGCGTGCGGCGCGCAGAATATCGGCGGGGTCGCGATCGTGCGACCGTGCGATGACCTCCCCGGGCTTTCTAAGCCGAGGACGTCGCCTCGAATCCGATCCTCTTGGATTCCATCGGCTAAACACTATCCGCGACAGGGTATCCGATCGACTGCGTCCGAAACCTGTTGCGCCGGGAATAATAACGTAACGATACACGCCGGGTTCCAGTCGCTTATGGTAGCCGTGCCGCGGAAAATTGATACGCTATTGACGGCTAAAACACCGGGGTGTACGGGCTGGAGAGAAAGGGGGCCCGGCTTTTGCAGCCTACGCGTTCTAACGACCGTTTCGTCCGATTCAGCGCTTTCCCTTTCACTCGTGAGCCTGCGTCGCGGATCCCAGACGACACGCCGGATCCTGTTCGCTCACCGGCGAAGACAGTCTCTATTTTTGCATTTTTTCCGCTGGATCTCGTGTCGATGATTCTTCGCCGGTGTCAACGAATTCTTGGAGAACGGTAGACCTAGAACGAACCGATCGATAATTAGACTGTAAATAGCGGCTGATAGATTTGAGTAACACAGGTAGCTAAACTAGGCCAAAGAATGATTGCACAATCGTGGTAAAGCACATGGATTGCATAGAAGAATTGCGGTATGCATCCGGTGCATAGTGGGTGTCGGTCAGGGTGAGAAAAAGTGGCCCCGGTATGTCGATAAATCGAAAGCTTCCGGGTTTTATATCGTTGACCTTCAACGTCGAGAAGGAAAAGTCCCGTCGTATAGGAGAAACGTCGAAGGTCTCTACGCGTTTTCTATCCGTTTTCTATTGACCGATTAATGGATCGTCGAAACCATTAGCCGGTGGTAGACGACCCTTCGAAATGAACGAGCTTCGCGAGACTGATGCGTTCTCTCTGTTCCGCAGGAATTTTCGCATATCTGAACTATCTGACACCGAAGACTAGAAAGGAGATCTTGGAGCTGTTGGTCGGCGGCCTGAAGAGGCTCGAGTATCGAGGATATGATTCAGCAGGTGAGAATTACTTGGAGGCGTTTCGTTTTCCCATCGGAGAACATCTTCGGCGAAGATTACTCTCGCGGGAAGCCTGATAGAAAGCAGAGCGAGATTTCTTCAAGACACGTTTTGTTGCAGGAGTCGCCCTTGATATCGCCGATGGCAAGGATATCGCGATTATCAAGAAGCAGGGAAAAGTCAAGGCGCTCGAGGAGGAAATCTTTAGCCGTAAGCGACACACACCTTGAACTTTCCAGCTCAAACACTGTCGCCGGCCATGGATGATTAATGAATTTTCCCCGGCAGGTTTTAACATCGATTTCGAGTCGAAGACGAACAGCCACGTGGGAATCGCGCACACGCGTTGGGCGACCCATGGTGTTCCATCGGAGGTGAACTCGCATCCTCAGAGGTCCGATAGCGAGCACTCGTTCGTCGTCGTTCACAATGGTAAAACTTGTTGCCTTCGTGGCTTATTATTGTCCCCGTTTTACATACCGGCTAAAGAGATTAGAATAGAGAATAGAATCTAGCCGGAATCTCCTTCCTTCTTGTCACATGAACACATAAAATTGAAATGAAATTTCACTCAGGTATCGTGACCAATTACAAGGAGCTGAAGACGCTGCTCCAACAGAGGGGCTACGTCTTTGAAAGCGACACCGACACGGAAGTCATTGCGAAACTCATTCACCATCTCTGGGTACAGCATCCGGCTTACTCGTTCCGCGAACTCGTCGAGCAAGTTGTACAGCAATTGGTGAGCGAACAACAATGGCACAGGGCCGAGGGAGACGAATATCCGACGTTGGAACAGCTGCGAGACACGGTCGTCGCTGTTCCAGACTTTCAAACAACCGGAACGTCGTTTGTCTAGAACTTCGCAATGTCTAGATGCATTTGAACGCTTCATCTACTGTTCGACGCGTTCTCTATAGAACTAACATGCTAAAGGATTTCAAAAGTAATTAATGTAGATACTTCTGATCAATTGTTCGATGACCGGAACAGTCTAGTATAGTAGCTGAAGCGTTAAGAATATTGGATATTGGTTCAAAGCTTTCTAATCAATCATTGAATAGCCGGAGAAACATAATCTGGCAGTTAAATTGTTAAAAAATGTAGGAACTGTTTCAAGATGTAACTAGGCACTGCGGTCCGAGGGTTAAGATGTGTTTGTGAGAACAAATCGAGGTATTGCATAGAATGCAACGATTTTTAACGAGACGATTGCATTTACAGGAAGGTGCGTCCGCCCTCTGTTTCAAGAGCAAGCACTTCCCAGGCGAGTGCGTGGCCACGAGGAGAGGCTCGCCTTTGTTGGTCGGCATCAAAACAAAAACGAGACTGGCCACCGATCACGTGCCAATCCTTTACGGTAAAGGTAAGTCGGTCAACTCGTGCGCCGTTCGATACGGTATCGTTAGAGCCTGCCTAGCATATCGAGGAGAAAGGTATAAATTAGTCAGACTTTCGGAGAGATCACAAGGCTATTTCTGGTGACTCGGGTAGCCGCCGAGGACTGTCGTTCGGCTGCGACACGAAAAAAGACGCTTCCCAACATGTTCTCTAAGAAGCCCGATCATTGTTGTTCTACCCACGCTCTCTGTCTCCTTGCGAGGAGGTTGGTATCGCAGTTCGGTGGAAATCTGTGGACCCGAAGTTCTCATGTGGTTTTTTTCGTGTGCCAATCGTGTAGGAACTAATTTTATCCATTATTAATAGCACGCATCTGTCCCGATTCGGATCTCTACTGGCTCACTTGTGAAGTAACCTATGGTTGTGAATGTTTCCAGGAACACTCAAATGGTATCATTTCATCGCTACCATACTTTTGTATCCGTTCGACGACCCTGGAAAGATCGAAGCTATCAATAATTCGTATTTTCTTCTCGTTAAATTTCCATTTTACACTGTAACGATCGAACCAAATTGATCAATTTTGTTGCATTATATTGAAAATTGTCAATCGTGCACAGTTTAGATTCAAGAATTCGGAGGTGCTCGATCTTTTCAGGGGTCAGTGTCTACTAGACGATCGAAGAGACATAACTATGTAACAGAGATCTGTGTTTATTAATTACGACTAATGAACGAATGCTAACGGAGTATTTTGTTCACGCTGGGTGTATCTTCTAAAGATATGTATGTACATTTTCACTGGAATCATATTTAGAATGGGTGACCTCTGCATCATCTATCGTGCGAGACAGTGACGTCTGGTTTAGTTTAAGTTATACATTCGTTGTTTGTTCTCTGGATATGCATGCGAACTTTCTTGGTGATTTAGTTTCAAGTCGATACTATATGATGTTTCTTTTGCATGAACACCTTCCGGTTATGTTCTCCAACTTTTCGTCTCGACAGATGAACATCCACTCGTAGACAAAGGTATATACACTACTCTACACTACTCTACACTTATTTCTACCTACGGCGTTCGACCTTCGTCGTTTTCAAACGATAAGATTAGCCGCTTATCGAGCGCGCATCCTGAATTCGTCGCGTTCCGAAGGTCCAGCGTTCGGAGGAATGCATGCAGAATCAAATTGCTTGATACTTCCGATAAAGTGTCTTAAAACGATCGATGTGCTATGTTTCTTAAACAAACAGAATCGTCCAAACGAGCGTCCTACTTTTTATGTTTCATCCCCTCTTTTCGAAATTACTGTCTCTCTCTCTCTCTCTCTCTCTCTCTCTCTCTCTCTCTCTCTCTGTCTATCTATCATTGTCCGTCTTGTCTTTGTGTAACAAAGTAACAAAGTAACATTGGCTTTTCTTCGTCCACCCGAATCGTTCAAATTATTATTCAATCGTCAAAGTGATCGCTTTGGAACACAACTTGATTGTTCATACATATATATATATTTGTTTATCGAAACGTACACACCACAAACACATTCATCGGTATTTATCGAAAGAAAAATCCATCGAGTATTCGTCTCGGCAAATTGCTTATGCGTTCGTAGCTTTTGTCAAATAGTATGCGGCGGCAGGAACAGCAACAAACACATACATCGCATCTGCCGCCGAGTATGTCTCGTTCCGTTACTTGTTGTTTGTTAATCATTTTGTTTTCTTTTTCATCTCTCCCCCTCCCCCCACATCGAAAATTTGAGCAGAAGGCGAAGCGCCGACAAAAGGTAATGCTTTACGTTCATGTACGCTTCCGACTGCTTTGGGTTCCGCTAGCTTTTCGCCGCTCTTTCTCTCCACGTCTTTGTCTCCGTCTCTCTCTCTCTCTCTCTCTCTNTTTATTAATTACGACTAATGAACGAATGCTAACGGAGTATTTTGTTCACGCTGGGTGTATCTTCTAAAGATATGTATGTACATTTTCACTGGAATCATATTTAGAATGGGTGACCTCTGCATCATCTATCGTGCGAGACAGTGACGTCTGGTTTAGTTTAAGTTATACATTCGTTGTTTGTTCTCTGGATATGCATGCGAACTTTCTTGGTGATTTAGTTTCAAGTCGATACTATATGATGTTTCTTTTGCATGAACACCTTCCGGTTATGTTCTCCAACTTTTCGTCTCGACAGATGAACATCCACTCGTAGACAAAGGTATATACACTACTCTACACTACTCTACACTTATTTCTACCTACGGCGTTCGACCTTCGTCGTTTTCAAACGATAAGATTAGCCGCTTATCGAGCGCGCATCCTGAATTCGTCGCGTTCCGAAGGTCCAGCGTTCGGAGGAATGCATGCAGAATCAAATTGCTTGATACTTCCGATAAAGTGTCTTAAAACGATCGATGTGCTATGTTTCTTAAACAAACAGAATCGTCCAAACGAGCGTCCTACTTTTTATGTTTCATCCCCTCTTTTCGAAATTACTGTCTCTCTCTCTCTCTCTCTCTCTCTCTCTCTCTCTCTCTCTCTCTGTCTATCTATCATTGTCCGTCTTGTCTTTGTGTAACAAAGTAACAAAGTAACATTGGCTTTTCTTCGTCCACCCGAATCGTTCAAATTATTATTCAATCGTCAAAGTGATCGCTTTGGAACACAACTTGATTGTTCATACATATATATATATTTGTTTATCGAAACGTACACACCACAAACACATTCATCGGTATTTATCGAAAGAAAAATCCATCGAGTATTCGTCTCGGCAAATTGCTTATGCGTTCGTAGCTTTTGTCAAATAGTATGCGGCGGCAGGAACAGCAACAAACACATACATCGCATCTGCCGCCGAGTATGTCTCGTTCCGTTACTTGTTGTTTGTTAATCATTTTGTTTTCTTTTTCATCTCTCCCCCTCCCCCCACATCGAAAATTTGAGCAGAAGGCGAAGCGCCGACAAAAGGTAATGCTTTACGTTCATGTACGCTTCCGACTGCTTTGGGTTCCGCTAGCTTTTCGCCGCTCTTTCTCTCCACGTCTTTGTCTCCGTCTCTCTCTCTCTCTCTCTCTCTGCACAATCGTTTCCTTCGTGTGGTCTCGATGGACCTCGAGGAGTTGGTGTTGGTGTTGGTGTCGGTGTCCATGGCCGTACGTATCTGTAACGTGTTTATCTTTCAGTAAGGAGAAAGGAAATTAACGCAAATTCTTCTTGGGGACCACGGCTTTCTCTGATCACTATATAGCTTTTGAACAGGTGCACCCACCGAGGATCGCTTTCGTTTAAGGACCACGAGGTCGTTCGACCATCCCAATTGCCACACGCCTTAACGACATCGCATCACGGTCGTTGAACTGTTAACCGATAGTAGTCTGCCGATTGTTAACACCTTTTCCAACGTCCGAAAGAGGTGGACAAACTATACACACAGTTTGAGCTGTCGATCTTAATGCAACTACGGATCTTTTGTGCTACTGATGAAACCTTATTGCATAGAGGATTTGCAGCCTAGCGAGCCAGTTAGGATGAATAACGGGAAACAGATTAACAGGACCTATGGAACGCTTTGTTATTACAATGATAATTCGGTGTGGGGCTTGCAAAACTAGGGAAACGGCACGATGCGCGATCACGTAGAGGTTTCTCGTTGCATCGTTGTCCTAGCTGACCAACGTCGTGCTGTTTCGGTGCACTGGCCATGCCTTTGTCCAAGAAGCCTATATATTTGTATATTAATTCGTATACGAGATAAATGTTGCCGACGAATCCTCTGTGTCGTCGTCTCTTCTTTCCCGCAAATTAAGATTTCTCAGGCTGACATTGGTCAGTTTGCTTATCGTTTCTCCAGAAATTTCGGGACAGGAGCGATAGGAGGACACACTGAATTCGCGAATCTGTAATATACATGAAATGTCCATTCTCACGACGGTCAGTCAAGGGGGATAGTGAACGTTTCTTTGTCGGTAGATCATCGTCCTCATGGCCGGAATCCGGAACTTCCGGTGATTCCTCGCAGCGAGAGCACCTCCGAGTTTCAACCACTGGAAGACAAAGAGGTGGAGTACTTCTTCGCGTCCGACGCCAGCTCCGTGATCGAGCACACGAACCGTGTGATATTCCTGGAGGTAAATCGTCGCTAACAAACCGAGGAGAATCCTCTAAGACCTTCAGCGGCGATAAATTTTTCAATGAGATCGATGGACAAATGTTCTCTGGTCACCCACCCCCTAAGTCGCAGAGTTTGTCCACGCTTCCATTGCAAAAGTTTCTTCCCCGGCTTGAGACGGTCTGGAAGTTTGACCACCGATTCTATTGAAAACTTTTTGGCCGGCCGCAACTTTGCCACCCCTAACTTACAGCCTCTTGGAGAGTAACTCGGAGAAGTTGGATGCATTTCTATCGGGAAGTTTCCAGCTCCTCCTGTAGCTTTGGGAAATCTGTTCACGTTTCTGTTTAACGTCTCGTCTTTCTCTCGACAATTTGCCCGCCATTGAATGGAGCCACGATTTTAATCATGCTCGTTTCAACCGGCTCTGTCTTCTCAGGACGACGATGTAGCGGCGGTGAAAGAGGGTGCGCTCAGCATCCACCGTCTACGGCGTTGCATGGACGATCCCCATGCGAGAGAGATCACCACGCTGAAGTTCGAGATCCAGCAGATCATGAAGGGCAACTACGAGTACTTCATGCAGAAAGAAATCTTCGAGCAATCGGAATCGGTGGTGAACACGATGAGAGGTCGCCTGAACTTCAGGGACAACTCGGTCACGCTGGGAGGTATCAAGGTACAGTGGAATGCAATATTTGATTGGTATATTGGAATTAGCGGGAAAGGAAAAATTGCTAAATGATCTTCATTTTTAGGACTACATTCCCGAGATCAAAAGGTGTAGACGTCTGATGCTCATCGGCTGTGGAACTAGCTACCATTCCGCAGTTGCTACCAGACAGCTACTGGAGGAGCTGACAGAGTTACCAGTCATGGTGGAGTTGGCTTCCGATTTCCTAGACAGAAACACTCCTGTGTTCAGGGACGATGTTTGCTTTTTCATCTCTCAGTCAGGTAGAGTTTATATAATATATACATATACAAGTTTATATATGTTACTAGTGTGAATAAGTGTAATAGGTATTTTATTCTGAATGTTTTCTTGGCGCAGGTGAAACAGCAGACACCCTGATGGCTTTGCGGTACTGCAAAGGACGCGGGGCGTTGATCGTCGGGATTACCAACACCGTAGGCAGCAGCATCTGTCGCGAATCCCATTGCGGTGTTCACATAAACGCTGGCCCAGAGATTGGTGTAGCCAGCACGAAGGCATATACCTCTCAGTTCATCTCGCTCGTGATGTTTGCTTTGGTAATGAGCGAGGACAGGATCTCGCTCGGCGCTAGACGTCAGGAGGTATGGTTTAATTAATCAATCGTTATATTAATCAATTCAAACGTATGTATTTGCATCGATAGATCATCGAAGGACTGAAGAACCTGGACAAGCAGATTAACGAAGTTTTGGAGCTGGACGACAAAGTGAAAGAGCTGGCTCAATCTCTATTCCAACACAAGTCTCTGTTAATTATGGGAAGAGGATACAACTTTGCCACTTGCATGGAAGGTGCTCTGGTGAGTCTTCGTAGTCTATAATTCCTAATTCCCACTCGGTCGACCAACGTATTAACAAGATCCAATTATTTGCAGAAAGTGAAAGAGTTGACGTACATGCACAGCGAAGGAATCATGGCGGGTGAGCTGAAACACGGGCCCCTTGCACTGGTCGACGACTCCATGCCGGTCATCATGATCGTTATGAGGGACCCGGTTTACGTGGTCAGTAAGATTACAAAGAAAAAACAGATTATCGGCCGAATAGTAGCCTAATCTCTCACGATTTCTTGCAGAAATGTATGAACGCGCTGCAGCAGGTGACGGCTCGGGACGGTAAGCCGATTGTTATTTGCGAGAAGGGTGATAAAGAAACGAAAACGTTCGCGGACAGAGTCCTAGAGATACCCAAGACAGTCGACTGTCTGCAGGGAATTCTCACGGTGATTCCAATGCAATTATTGTCTTTCCACATCGCGGTGCTGCGCGGTTGCAACGTCGACTGTCCTAGGAATTTGGCGAAATCGGTAACCGTTGAATAAATCCCTATCATCTCGGACAATCTATCCGGAAAATTCCACGTTGTTATCGAATACTAGGATCAAAGATCCATCATACAGACAGACTGTCTCTTTGTCTTGTCCCAAGAGACAAAGAACAATATAACATCGAGTACGGTGTTTCCGCGATAGTCTAAAATACTGTGTAACTCGTGATCAAAGATTGATCCGCTTTCTAAGTACTTAACGATCATAGATTGTCGTTCGTATTAGGATTACGATCTAACAGGTGCGGATATTCCTTATGCTCGCGCGCGTATGATGCGACTTTTAGAATCGACGCGTGTTTGGACCAGCCTTTACATCTAAATAGTTAGCGACGATGGTGGACGAGATGCATTTTTCGTTCAAGAAAGTTTCAAGGGAAACTGTTACAGTGCATTTACGGCTGTTGGTATTCATATCAGGTCCATGGAAACGTTGCATTTTCAGTTCAGTTGTGATCATTATTCCACTTCTTTAACGAAGCTCCCACGAAGACTGGTACGTTTGTTCTTGTATATTGTAATCTGGAAGATTTTGCATCGTGTATCCTACTAGAGAGACTTGTGTGCATGCAGGTATGCTAAAGGTTGCGAGTGGGTATCATAAATTTTCATTCAAATCGGAAAATTGAATCGAACGGAGATTATAACGATCAACAGTATCGATTATCTATCGATACGTATGGCCGCCATTATTCTGTGTTCGCGGGGAAGAATGGCGGTCGCGGAGTGCATTAGGGTAGTCGTATTTTGTACAGTATTTAAGAGAAACCGGTGAAATTTGATACGTCCCCTTTCGTGTGCCTCGTAAGGTACGTATTGTTACAGACAGAAATGTAATCGTGTTTTAGTTTAAGCTCATTATATAAACAGAAACTTTACCTACAGAAACGGGTTTTCGAATTCTACGACCTAACCCTATTACGATAAATCTGATCGTTACTCTCCTCCTTCTCTTTTCCATCCAATTTATTCGAGGAGTTATCAACGAGTAGAAATTTATAGAAACTAATAAGTTATTCGGAGCTAGACATTTAATCCGAGGAAATTCAGCAAGGTCGTTTCGAATATTTCCGTTTTCGCGAGCAGCCAATGGACGCGCGGGAAAAGCGTGACGCGTCGTGTCGCGTCGCGGTACCGAAAAATTGATATTCCTAGAACACCGTTCGTCTAATAATTTCTCAAGATCTATGCCCGTTGTATCGTTCTAATTGGACGTGCGCCAAAAAGCCGATCGAAGCAATATACCGGGGGCCTTCGTCGGGTGGTTCGGTTGGCGTATGCGCCAGTAGTAAATCTCGTGTTTATGTCGGACATGCGGAATCGAGTCAGTGCGCGTTATCCCTTCTGACCAGGGACGGTACGCAGCTCCTTTCAGTGCGTTTCAGTGATCGTAACCACGAGACCGCGCGGGCTTCTATCGTTCCGTAGTTTCGGCATTCACGATTTCGCAGCGGTTCAGCCACGAAACGACAATTTCCTCGTGTTACCCGGAGACCTGCGAAAATACGATCTGACTCGAGAGAGTGACATCTTCGAGAGACGAGAGCTAGGCGAGAGATCAGGCTCGGTGCGAACCGGAGGAAACGAAAATCGTACAACGAACGGTGAATCGTGATCGCGTAGATCCAGCGGGTTCTCAGAACCGTCGAGAATTCGTTCGTGAAATTTAAATGGTACCTCCACCCCCTTGGGTTATTTCGCCTAGGTTGGCTACATTAGGACCATCGACGACATCGGTCGGTGGGTGGTACCACTGGTAACATTCGCGTAACCAGGGTACCGTAGACAGGGTTATTAGAAGAGGCCGAATTTCCGTCGTATCGAAATACCGATCTCTCGAAAAATCTATGGTCCCGTCACGCCCTCTGCGTCTCGGGACTCGGACAGTGACGCGGGCGCAACGTCTTTCGTCCGAGCCGTTCGAATCGGTCGTGAAACGCGTCGGGCGACCCTGGTAGCAGGATACAATTTCGATCGAGTATCCAGTAAAGCGAAGACCAAGCACTCGAACGGAAGTTGCGCGTCGTATATGGTAATTGGTTCCGCGAGTCTTTCCGTTACCTAAACAGCTCCGATATTCGACGACGACGACTCGGTGGATCGAACACCTTTTCGAGCGTTCGCGATATTCGAATGTATCGGGTGACGTCGTAACGGTCGCGATTAACACCGAGCTACAGTAAATTGATCGGTAAATGCCAGGCGTGTTTCACGTGTTTCGGTTTCATCGGTCACGTGTCCTGTTTCCGCGTACATAACCGTTCCGGCGTATCCGTCGCCTCGAAACGGGTTCTTCTTAACCGACGCGATTCAATCCGTCCGCGACAGTCGGTAAAGGGACCGCGAAGAAAGTGTGGCGTCGCGGCGCGGTGCGTCGGGTCCTCCTCTATACGTCTGGTTTGTGCAGGTATATATGGTTAGTGGTTGTGTCGCCATTGCCGGCGGTGTGCAGTGAGGGAAGCACATCGTGTACCGAGCAGTACCGAGAGCGAGCGCGTACACCGCCTGCGCCATTGCTCGGGAGCTACCGAATCCAGCGGGGGGCAGCACTACGCGAGTCAGTCGACGGTCTGCCGGCGAGCAGTGCGGACGCGTCGTGGAAAAGAGAAGCGGTCTGCGAAACACGGATAGAGAAAGCGAGAGAGAGAGAACGGGGCCAGAGGGGGAGAGAAAGAGAGCGAGAGAGATAGAGACAGAGACGGTTTGTCGTCGTCGGTTGCCCGCAAATATTTGCTGGCACGGCCGCGATTTCGCCCCACCGTCGGTGGCCAACGTTAAACGCGTCTCCCGCGGACACAGAAAGCGATCTCGTCTCCCCTCTCGCCCGTGGTGTCCGGCCCGGCCCGGCCCGATCCGACGAACGAACGAACGAACACCCTCCCCATCCCTCGGCCGCGCGGACCGAGCGTTACCCGCTGTTCTAGCAGCGCCGCGGCGGTTCCCCTCTATTGATCGAATTCGACCAGCGAAGTTTCCCCTAGCGTGTGCGGTAGTGGCGGCCGGCAGTGGCTCTCGCGCTTACGTTCCTCGGTTGGTGCGGTAAATAATCGCGATACCTCGGCATGGCTACTCCGACCGCTTGCACGCGGTTCAGTGACAACTACGACCTGAAGGAGGAGCTGGGCAAGTAAGTGACAGACCATTCTTTACTGCGTGCATGTTTGTATATCGAGGCGAACCGACAGGGAAAACGGCGGCTCCTCTCCGTGCTGTCCCCGAGAGCGTGACAAAGATAGAGAGAGAGAGAGAGAGAGAGAGAGAGAGAGAGAGAGAGAGAGAGAGAGAGAGAAAGAGCGAGGGGGACGACACGGAGAGTACACCGAGGCGTCAATCGGTTAATGTTGCACCGCGAGTGTGTCGCGTCGTGTGTTACATCGTTCGACGATATATCTCTTTCCGTTTCTGTTGGCTCTGCCGTACGCGTATTGCCACCGCGCTCCGTTCCCGTCTTGCTTTTTCGTTCGGCCGCCTGTCCCTGTATCGCGTTCGCCTCGCTATTCGCGGCTGTTGTTGTTTTTCGTACTCGTGCCACCGCTTGCACGAGTCGCGCAATGTCATCGCATTGTATCGCGCGGATTCTCGGCGTTCGCGACGACGGGTCGCGGGCACCGCCGTTCGAACGGTTCCCGTTCGATGGCTAGCAGACGACGCGGTGTCGCGTCGGCCATGATTATTCCCTGCGTACTTACACGGGGGCCTCTGTTCTCCGGCCGCGCCGTGTGCCCCACTCCCACGGTTTATCGGGTCGCTTTTACATCCGCGTTTACACGGCCGTGATCTTGCACCGCGAGTTTATCGGGCAGGCCGGTTTACCTCGCGTAGACACCGCCGAAATTCACCGTACGCGAATCCTAGTGGAAACGGTCTCTCGTACGAATATTCGAACCGGGTGGCGGAAGAGGGGTTAGCCGAGGTTGTTCCGGTCTCCGAGATCCGTCGCTGGCAAAGTCGCCGCGATGCTGGCAGCCTCGGAGAGGCGGCGGTTTGTTGATACCCGGTTCGCGAAGATTGTTTTCGTTCGCCGCCGGGAGATAACGCGTGTCTAGTGGAAAATCGGGTCTGTCGGCCATGAGCGGATTTAGGTTAACCGACACGGTGTGTGCCACTAGGGGAATCCGCCGGTGCGACGCGACACGTCGAGAGGGTCGGTCCAGCCCCGGATTCTTGACCCGTCCGCGGGCTGACATTGAGCACCCGCCGGTGTGACACCCTTATCTCTCTCTTTCTCTCGGTACCCGCTGCATTTAACCGAGGCCGTCGTCTCCCTCTCGGAAACCACGGGAGACACCCCGTTGCATTTCGTCTATATTTAAGCGGCACGGCCTGTCTGCTCGTGGCTCAGCCTCTATATATAAAGCGTCAGGGCCTGTGGAGGCTTTCGGCAGCACCGCGTTTCAACGAGCCTCGAAAATCGAGGCATCCGCATCGTACGCGGATCTGTCACCGAATCAATACGATGTCGTCGCGCCGCTTTTTACCTTCCGCCCCCACCGACCTTCCTGTTCGAGCGTTTCCTCTCCGCGGTCTCTTTCGAGCGTTTCCGCTCCGGGGCCAACGGCGTATTTCCCGATCCGATCGTCTCTCCTCTCTCGGCCAATCTTTTTCTTCTCGCGGACCTCGCATTCCTCTCCGCTCGCCGGCAGGTGGTTGAAAGGCTCGAGAGACACCTTGTCCCTAAAAGTCACTAGATTCCCGCGCTCCCCTCGCGCCTCGGAATCCATCGATTCCAACGTCCTCGCTTCCTTTCCTCGGAATTTGCAACTTTTCGAATTCGTGCTCTGACGTTCCAAAAAACGCTTCGCGGACTCGCGGTCGTTTCGACAACGTTAAAACTCGTCGAACGGAGCGCGCTCGATCGAACACGGTTAACCGTGTTCCGCAATCGCTTCTCTCGCTAGCTACCTTCCACGGCGAAATGTTTGATCGAATGCGGCTTAGCCGACTTACGGAATACACATGCTCGCAGGTGCAACCGCGCGAATACCAATTAACGTTCACCGAATGCGACCGCGCTCGAGCCAGCGGGCTCTGTCTTCAGGTAAAACGTTTATTATCGTCGCGGAACGAGCGCGATGGACAGGAGTAGGTCGCCGGGATACGCGGCGGGTTTCCTATTTGGGTTTCGAGGCTCCTCGCGAGGTTCGTCGCCGGCACAGGTATCGGTCTCGTGTCATCCGTGACCCCGAGTGACCTCGACTCCGGAACCGGCGAAGTTGTTAGGCCGCGGCACGCCGGCGAACAAGGAACATTTCTGACCACACCCCCGCGTCTTTTTGGCCGAGTTTCCACCACGGTCGATAAACAGCCAGCC